CTTCGCCGGATCCCGGGTTGGGTTGGGTTGGTCTGACGGTCAGTGGGACTTTTGTCGGTGGTTTCGGTGGTGGGTTTGGTTTTGGTTTTGGCATGAGATCTGAAAATAGAAGGAAAAAAACAGTCTAGATTAAATAACTGACCTATAGATGTAACAAAGATATTAGTACTTTAAATATAACTTACTTGTGTGAAAAACGATCAGATTTTTAAAAAAAAAAATTTTAAATAGTCTTAGACTAGAAGGAGAGATTTACATTGCACTTCTATGAGTTCAAACCATTCTAGATTTAGCTCGTGTGCCCTGCAGGTTTCTAAAAACGCGAAACAGTGAGAGTGGTAGATAGAGATGTTGAAAAACTAGTATTGCTTATAGGATTCGAAGTGTTAATGTACCACAAACACAAGTCTTGACGCAGTCGAGCTTCATATACGTTACTGAACATGGATGGCCGTTTTTGACTCGCCACTGGCATGTGGATGTTCCCACTTTGTCGAAGCACCGCTCTGTAAGGAGTAAATATATTTTTACAGAATTCAACATTTCTCTTCACCGTTTTAAATCATTACTTACTCACTATACTGCTGATTCTTTAAATTGGCTTACAAGAAACACGAATTTCAAAGGGGTTTGATCGCTGATGTGTACCTGCTTTGACGATTGACGATGAAGCTCCCGTTATCTCCTTAATTTGCACCTCTAGACTTAAACATTTGCAGCAGTGGTAGTTGACAAAAAGTACAAAGCAGGCAACGTTTTACTTTACAGTGCCATTAGAAAATACTTTCAAATTTACCAAGTAGTTTTGGCTCGCAGTTGTACTAACCCGCATTAATACCTCGAAACATGACTCATGAAACAAGTTGAATTTGGACTGGTTCAAATAGTGCACGAACAAGTTACTTCCTGGGTCCGTCCTGGTCCTAGCATGCAGGGCTCAGTGTGCATCATTTACTATATTAACGGATCTTCTTTCAGGTGTTTTATCCCCGACTGTACATATATTGGCGTTTCTTTTTAAGAGATCTCAGTTGCAATCACCGTAAATTATTGTTTTAGCGACATACACTAAGTTAAAACATGAAGTTCTTGCATGAACGTTTCTTGCATGGAGTGTTAAAGTGAATCGACTCGCTCAAAAGGCGAAAAGGTGTTTTGTGAATCATTGTGCATTGTAATTTGTACTTCTGGGTTAAAGTAATAATACTTTCACATTTCTCTCCGTACCACCCTTCATCGCAGATCCTCTCTGGAGAAAATAAGTGCGAGTGTTAGTCTTTCATATCAAAAGCGGCGTTTTTCTGCCTTTTTAACTCCCTTTATCCACCATAGTCTATTTTGAGACTTGCTAAAACGTAAAAGTTACAAAACTAAAGAACCACTTGAAATGAAGGAATGAAGTTTGAACGGTGCATGACAAGCTACGTGCAGGAAAGAAAAATGAACGAGAAACCGTAAGTTGTATTTTCCTGAGGCATCTTAGTGAGCCTGGATCCCAAATCCTCGACTTTCGTTAGTTGATTGCGCCTTTTGTAATGGGGCATCGCACCAGAAATTTTCCATGCATATGATGAGTTTACTTTTTTCGATGAATCAACGTCAATCGCCATTTTCTGCCTTTTTCTTTGTACCATCAACGATCAATAGACGCGAGCTATCCTCCACACGCTCTCCAATCGCATGGAAAGTTGCGCTGTAAGAAGTAAAGTGACTTTCTTAAAGCTCTGAGAGTTTTCTTTTTCAAGCTTGAGTTTGTCTCGCCTTAAAATGTAAAGTACGGTAAATGAGGTGACTGATAAACTGCATCTATTAATTAGTTAATTTGGTGAGGTAGGGGACGTTAAAGAACCCACCCACGAGATTACTGTGATGTGGTCTGGCCTGTTTACTACATGGGAGTTGGGAGGAGGGGGCATCTTCAAATAAGTTTCCTTCGATTGTTTGTAAACTGCTGATGCAGTCTGGCCGTCTAACGTAAAGTGTTGTGATGCGCATTTGATCATATTCACATGTTAATTTGCGCAATTTAAATATTAAATTATTAATATTATTATTATTATTATTATTATTATTATTATTATTATATTTTAAATTACCAGAGCAATCGGAGCCTTTCCATTTGCCATAGCACGTACAAGTGCAAGTGTTACGGTCAACCTGTCCTCCATTTTTGCACTGCAAAGGACATCCTGAAAAATTCCAACAGAGATCGGTCGGGAAATATGCTGATCAGCACAAAAATCACATTTGATGGTTTTATGCTTTGCAAGAGCAGATCAAAAGGTTAGAAGTTAGTTTTTGGAAGTAAGAAGTTTGGAAAAATGATTTTCTGCAGTAATCTAGAGGACAGATCAATAACCGACCGTAGAATATTTCGAACAACCTCTCTTAAGCTGAGTAACATCTGGTTTTGAACAGCGAGAAAATGAAAGTAATTTTTAAAGGATTCGCGAAACAGCATCATCTGAATCTCTGTCACTGAGCCTTCCCAAGATTACTTTACGCTCCATACCTCCTTTTCGATTCCCATCCACCTCTTTCCATGTTATCGGAAAAACAGAGGCGCTGAATGGATTCATCCTATGTTTTAATTCAAACTATACTCACTGCAAAGGTTGCACAGCTTAGGGCAATGTTTTTCCATCAAGTCTCTGTTTGTGAGGCACATGCCTTTCGAGTAGGTCGTTCCACATTTTGGGCTAAAAATTCTTGCATTCTCCTGTAAAAAAAAAAAAACACAGGCATGGCTGTACATCCATGTGTTGTTTGAAGCCATTTGTTCCCTACAGACTTTCTCTCTTATACTCACTGCAAAGGTTCTTGTAGCACCAACCCTGACCACTGGCGCACTTTGTACATGGAACTCCGGGCGTGTAGGGTTGCTGTCCTACCACGTTACCGCTGAAAAAATTTTTTTAAAAACATCTGTTAAATAATCATTGTAAGTGGGTTTTCTCTACGAAGGGCAAACTCATGACTGATTCCATCTAAACGAGGACATCAAAGTTGTATTCAATCAAGCGCAATCGAAATTTCGATTTCCGAACTCTTCGTTACTAACGACAAACCCCTTTTCTTTAAAACTGACTGGTGTGCTAGTGACTTCGACTGATGTGCAGAAGTCCACATTGGTCCTAGTAACTGGTATCACGAATAGTTTTGCAGACGCGGAGAAGACTAGGGTTTTTGCTTGTTCCTGTTCATGGTTAATTTTCTTGCATAAGAAATTCAATCAATATATCGATTGGTCACACCGTTTATTGCCTGCAGTGTATTTTAATGCAGTTTGTAACGCGCGCATCGCCCAGCTTTCCAAGAATTAAAAGTATTGAGGATTGATTCAAAACTATCGACTTCCAGAAAGTAAATCAAATGAAGTACTCGTCAGTGACGATATCTTTATCATCTGCTTGTAATATATGTCGTCCGCTGTCGTCATCTGGTTACAACTGTGTGTTCTGCTTGTAACTGTGTCGTCACGAAAAAGAATATCCAGCACTTACCTTGGATAGTAATCACAAGTTACAACTGTCTCTCCAGGAACCCAAGGGTGGGGCTGACCAAAATGCTTGTCACACCATTTAAAGGCACATCCAACCTGTTTGCTCTTTGCCCACACAACCTTTGAGACAAAGAGACCAAAGTGGTGTTCTTTCTTCATAACACTCAGAGTTTTTAAGTCGACAACAAAGGCTTTTTCATGTTATCTAGGGCGAAGTTTTGTATTCAACTCTAAAGGAGCAAGGTTATTTCGACGCAGCTCTGCGATACAATTATAATAGTGTCCCATAATTTTTAAACGTGTTTGGAGTTTATTGTGAAACAAAAAGAAAAGATGATGGTTGAGGATGTGGTCTAGAAATGTGCGAGATTTGCAAACCATAACCTAGCACCTAGTTTTATCCCCCAGGATCGTTACACATCATTGTGCTTGTTAAAAAAAAGTCATGAAAATCCTTGGTTATCCTGTGGTCTTAGAGCCTTATTCCTTCAACTTCTGCATAAGAAGAGAATATTGCCTGCAGAATGGTATATCCAGAAGTATATGCCCTGCAAAGCTACTCACGAGTTAGTTGGGTAGTAAGCTTGATGTTCGGGAGGGAAAAGCTAACCTGTGTATAATGCCCACATGGTTTTTTACGGCACATCCAAGAAGGCATCGGATAAGCAAACTTTGAAAACCTGTAGTAATTTTTTTCAATAAACCATCGGCGCACTGAATCCTCCGGGCCAGCATCTTTACTTTCAATCCACTTGCCCCACTCACGGGCCAAATTTTGACCTGATGATTGTCATTAAAGAAGAAAGGAAATTTAAAAAACGATTTTCAATGGAATGAACTACTTTTTTCAAATAACTATGTTAGTTGCTATTTTTGCCAATTGCTCGAGATCACTTTTTATCGAGCAAGGAACACTAAGTTTAGCACGATAAAAATCGCAATGAAATACCCCTATTTAAAATATGGCCGACTTTTTTTAAGTTAACGGCCCTTACTAAGTCCGATGAAAAGTCTATCTTTTTCTGTATATGCCTCTTTTTTAGCTCTTCTATGAATATTTCAAGGTCTAAAATAATCTTGTCAGTTTATCCTATAATCCTTGGAAAAAACTGAAATTGCATGAGATGGACTGGGACAATCCCCATGCGGTAAGCGGTTAACCCAAATTGCAATTTAAATATGTAGTTTTCTAGGAGTGATCGTTTTATTTTTTCCTCAATTACCTACAGACTTGCTTCGAAAATTTTGGTTCGGATGCCACGCCCCAAACCTTGTAAAGCCATGCATCCACTCGCATTTATCCGACCACATTTGAGCCAGGTTACCAAGGTCATCGTTCCACACCTAAATCGATACAAGATGAAGAATTCAGTGAAATTGTTTCGTAGCATAGAACGCCTCTCGGTCGAACGCTGTAACAGCCAAAACCTCAACTGCGACGGCCAATAGAAAATGTAATGTTGCAAGGCAACAGATGGCTTCAAAGAAAACGTTAAAACTTTCTCTAGTACGACTGTTCAACTCACCAAGTACTCCATGTCTGCTGCGCTTGGCTTTACCTGACTTCGGAACTCATTGTGAAAATCAACGAATTGCTCTTTCAGCTTGTCGCTCAGACGGCACTGTCTGAAATCACCAGGCTGAGGAGTCTTGGGTCCCATACGACCACCACTGCTGACTTGTAAGGTCACAGAAAACACGAAGATACACAATAGTGATGTCATCATGAACAGGTTTGATTGACTTGCGCAGTGCTGTAAATTGGTTGATTAAAAGAAATCCGTTGCTATCCCACTGGAAAATAGATTGGAACTTTAAACCGAAAAAGTTATTTAGGGACGAGATGATTAAGATGCGTCTCATGTTACGAGCCCGTTACATCGGTTTCTCTTAAGCGCGGTTTGCTTTCATTGAGCTAAAAAATCGTTTGATTACGGTGGCCATTGTACATTCTGTTCTAAACTGCAAAATTCAAACTGTCTCCTCCAGCGAATTTGTGGAAACGCAGATATTACAAGCTACAACTTGAGTTCCATCAGACTAAAGATTTCTTTGATTAGGGGCTGCACTAACGTGTTGAGGTCAGATTTTTCTTGGTTCAATATTTTCAACCCGATGGGATTTTTCCTTGCCTTAAGACTATGAGTGCAAGGTAAGGAAAGTTTAAACAAGAAAAATTAAAGGAGAAAACTAAGCACAACAGTAGTCACTCGCTTTTGGAGTCTTTTTCAACTTTCATACAGTCACAGGACTGTTTGAGTCAACTTGTGAAGTGAAAGAGGGTGGTTAGATAGATAAACCTTCCTTAGTTTTCGAATATCTCGATCAGAGATTTCACAGAAACGGTATAGTGCCCGAACACCGAAACAACTTTCTCTACTGCGCTAGAATGCATCAAAATATTTTAATTATTTTTATTACCATCGTTTGTTTATAATTTTCGTTTGACTCAAATGGTTTTATAACGTAATTGATAACAGGAAATTGAAACTTTCCCATCTAGATCACTCAAAGCTGTAACGAATGAACCTTGCGCACGGGAGCGTTTTAAGTTGGATGAAGAATGTCAACAACACTCGTGTTACTTTACTGACAATTAATAGGAACTGTATGAACTTTAAAGTGCGATTAAATTTCTATCTTTGGCAACCTTTCTGTCCCAAATGTAAGCATGCTGTTTGGTGATCGTCCTTTTAGACTTTTTTATTGCATTTAGCCCAACCTGGCTAACCTTCGATTAAAATGCTTTTGTTTGAAATTTGAGCATAATTTTATGCGCGCAAAATGTTAACGGAAATTTTTCGTGACCGTGGCCATTATATTTTACTGATGTTTAGTTCAATTAGCGTCTCTAGTCGCCGCACAATAGTCGCCCCACAATAGTCGCACTAGGGTCCAATATATCAATTAAGATTTAAAACCGTTAAATCACAAAATGAATACAGATTTAAAATTTCAACTGCCTAACTACAAATTTAAATTTTATCTATGTTATAAATTATGGAATAGAATAAAACCAAGAGGCGTAAAGATAGATTTTCTATGGCTAAGGTCGCAGAGGGGGTGATGAATGTAATCTGCTTTTCATCAGGAAAAACTAAGACCTAAAATACTTAAGCGTTACTCTTCTCAAACATGATAACCCCAAAATGGTCACCTTCAATACCGGGCATCCCAACGATAAAAAAATGCAAACGCCAAATTGACACAAATGATCAGACATGAGGCAATGCATTACAGGGGGGGTATTACAAAGAGATTTGAACAAGGTGCGACAGCTGAACCAGGGATATCGGGGTTTACAAGCAGTAAATAAATATATTTCATTATTAAAAACTGGGTCATTGAATAATGCAATTCAAGACTTTTTATTGACTTAGCCGTTATGGTATATGAGCCAATATACCATAATCTAATGTCTTTACATTGTAACATCCAGTTTCTTCTTGCAAAATAATCTCATATATCATCTCATATCGCGCTCGTGGAATAATTGTTAATTAGACGTTTAGTTGTGAAGTATCGCTGAGAAATTTTTACCAGTTGTGCCGTATTTTGACGAGCTCGTAGGGCGAGTCAAAATACAAGCAACGAGTAAAAATACTCAGCAATACTACACAACAAAATGTCCAATAAGAGATTTATTATCCAACACGCCAAATTGTTATTTCAGTGCGGGCGAAATTTCGTGGATATTCCTGGAGTTCAAATATCGCATGATATTTGTACTCGTCTCGCGCGTTATTTGTACTCCACGAAGCACAGTTGGATAATATTATCTTCTATAGGGCCATGGTTGTTCCAATGATGAAAATGATACATTAAAAGTCGCCTTTGTTTTGCATGTGTACCGAGGTGATGTTCATGAATAGACCCTTTTAACGTTAACGCCGCCATTTTGCCGGGGGTGCAAAACTGCTGGGGCGAACGCAAAATGTGCAGTGAATGTATGGGAAAAGTTGAGTTAAAGTGATGCTCGATAATTTGAGGAAGGTTGACATCGTGCAATTTCTATGAATTACAAACTAAAGATACCAAACCTTCCAGTTTACCGATCAATTTTGAGAAATGAAGTCTAGCGAAAAAAGCCGCAAATTAAGATTTTGATTTTCCATATATTTGTCTCTAAAACCAAGCCGCCGTTTGCGGGAAAATTTAAAAGCATTTGTATGAAAAACTAAAAATAAGATTTCTTACTTCTCAGCGAGCCTGAACCCTTCACATTTAATCGGTAACATCTTTTGCCTGGTATCTTTACTTCGTAATTTATGGAAATTGCAGACTGTCAACCTTCCTCAAATTATCGAGCATCAATCTCCCGACTTTTTCCATACATTCACTGTACATTTTGGGCTTGCCCCCAGCAGTCTTGCACCCCCGGCAAAATGGCGGCGATAACCTTAAAAGGGTCTATTATTGTGGCAACTCACGGCACTAAAACTTGTTATTAATTCACCATAATTAGATCACTGAGAGACACAAGGCCTATACGTATCTGTGGCTAAGCTCTCTTTTCAAGGGTAATCCATACATCGATGAGCTGAGTCCCAGAAGCCGTTCATTTTCTTAGCAGTATTTTTTTTTCCTTTGCTATTTTACTCACCAGGGCAGCCCTTCCTGCCATAGGGATCTTGGCTGGGTGTGCTAGCGTCCCAACAGCATCCATTCCTGCTTGTTCTGCAGTCTTCAAGAGGTTCTCCACCTTAACAAACAATATCAACCGTTCTATTTATTATTGCTCTTCTGTTGGATTATTTTTATACTTCTTACTTCCTCAGGAGAGCAATATTCCTCGCTTAGGAAGTCAGTCACCAATTATTGATTTCATATCGCTGTATTCTACATTTAGGTATGTTCAGTTACCGTAACAAGAAGACTAAAACCAATATGGACTCAGGTATTCCAGGGTAAATTTCTGGGAAGTAGCTGGGTTACGTCCTAACCTCGTAACAGGGCTCACCCGATTACTTTTGTTGAGAGGAGGCATTAGAAAACGATTGAAGAATGTCGAGGCGTGATTGATATACACTTAAAGCTTAAACCAGAACTTTTTGTTGAAGCGCGCTATCTTTTTTTTGATCAAGACGGGTAATGTCACCCTAATAGTTATTACGGGTCATGGAATAATTATCTTCAAAATGAAAAGCATTGCCCATTTTGCTGCTCATCAAGTTAGTAAGTAAGTAAGTAAAATCTTTTATTTAAAGACGATGAGAATGAAAGTATTACATGCTTTGTCGGTCGTTGATTCATTTAATTTGCTGAAAGATTTATTGCAAAGATTATATTTCGTGTATGCGCCCCTGGACAGAGTTACTTACAGTAGTGACAACTTGCAGAGCAGCTTCTTTCCAGCTTTTTTTTCAGCTGATCAATGATCGTGTTACACACTCCGTGTCCCAGTTCGTTGATTACCTTCATACAAGTATGGTGTGAACCTTCGTCTTTGCATTCTGCGAGAGAAAAATTCACAAAAAGGAAGTGCGGGTAAATCTATCTTAAAGTAGCGATTTATCGTGAGGAAAACTCAAACACGCCTGGCCATTTGTTATGTTACGTTTTTGTAGGGCATGGAATTTGGCATGTCGTTTGAGAGAGAAGCCCTGCCTGATCCCGTAAATCCCAAATAGCATACATCGGACCAACACTTAAGGTCTTAAAACAAGTGAGAAGAATATGCTACCTTTCTATAACGTCAAGAAATGGTTAGATATTCTAGTCTTCTCGGATAGGGACGAATAAATGGAGGTCCCGTCTCCAGCAGGGTTGGTGTAGGAGACGTTAATTTCCCACACACGAGATTACTGTGTGATGGATGTCCTCCCCTGGGGTGGTTGCTGGGTGGAAATTGGCCCTGAAAAGCCCCCATGTGGAGTGGTCAGTTAATATATGTATGTATGTATGTATGTATGTATGTGTGTATGTATGTATGTATGCATGTATGTATGTACATAAAGTCCCGTTTGTTTCGTCGTGAGTGGAAAAATAGCCTTAGCCCGTGGGTTAAAGACGTAACTAGATCATTGATTATTTAAATTGCGTTTTTCCTAGTTTTTCCAAATTTTCTGGTTGTTATATAAAACCCTAGAGATAGATGCGCACTAAAATATGATGCCACCCAAAATTACGTGGCAGTGGAACCTTATTTGCCACCGCTGAGGACGAGATCGTGATCGTGGCGTGCAAGTTCAAGCCGCGCACCGCATTAACAAGGCATGCCGAGCAAAAATTGCGCGTTGAAGGCTTTCTACAACTAAAACGAGAACGCCTTCCTTTATGAAGAACTGCCAAAAATTGGCAGCCGCCAAAATTGAGGCGGGTGATAAGGACATCAGTTGCGGATTTGCGCGCAAACAACATTGTTACAGCAGGATGATCCTTAACTTCTCGTAAACAAAGTTTTTATACAATTTGATCAGTACCCTTTACTACTTCTATGTCAGTTCCAGCGTCAACATCAGATTTTAGTTTGAGAACACTTTGCTTAAGTGTTACGCACTGCTGTTATATCTTTCGTGCGTTGGCAAATGAGTTGACACTGTATTATATTTGGCAGAGGTTACTCGTTTGTGACTTCACAGTGAAACGATCGCTAAGTCCCTTGTAGTGATGTAAACATTTGATCGCCGTATCTCAACCTTCAGGATTTTATACATTTTCTGTGACTTAGTTAAAAGAATTGAGGAAGACATTTTATAAATGATAGTTTTTTTGTGTCATACGACAGAAAGACAGTGCAAACAAATTTGTTACTTTTTTTAATTTGAAGATTAAAATTCCTTGGGGTTATATCTCGATTTGGAAATCTATACATGACAGTAAAATATCTAGATCCTTCCGTTGTTGTGTTCATTTTTAAAACTGATGGTATCAGTACAGTGACCAAAATTGATACAAACGGAAAATCTGATATTCGTCAGTCAGAGTTAATCCTATGGTGATCGATTCAGTTATAGCTCAGATTCTTTTAAAGTGAGCGAGGTCACGGAGATCGGCATCTTACAAGTTGAAAAGTGTTTTGCATGACGCGCGGAAAAAAAATTGCCAGGTATTAGTACTGCAAATATCTAGATGGATTTGGCTACACTTAAAATATTGGAATTCTCATAGGAATTCTCATTTCCTCTTACGGAAAACTTGAAAGCAAATGTGCTCAGAGCTTGTTCATGGTGGTCAGAAACTGAAGCTTTAAGTTAAGGGGGCTCTGACGAATACTTAGTATTCGTTTGTTGCACCATCTGTCATTATATGTCATGAAACACCGATTTTGCTTTGTCTGATTGTTGCCTAAAACTTTGTTTCTTTCGTATTTGGTCGAACTGCGGACATGTACCAATCCTTCAGCCTCTTTTTTCCTTTAAAATATATTTATAGATATATTTACATTTTTTTTTTGAAATGACAACTTTGATGTTATTTAAGGGCATGCGAGCTACAAGGTCATTTTATGACGTGCACAAAAGACTGGGTTCAAACGCTTCCGGAAGCTATAAAGCCATTTTGCGATGTGCGGTTAAGACTGGGTTCAGATATTTTTAGAAAGAAGAGTGAAGGGACAATAAAAGCCCTTGTTCTTTTCTATTCGAGTGATGAACGTCTCTCCGTCATTTCGGCTTGAGAAAAAAGAAAGGCAAGGAAAATATTACATCCCATAAAAGCATGAGGGTCGTACCTTGCGATTTCGAGATCGGTTGTTGCAATAACTGAGTTACAAAACAGCACTGTGCAGTGGTGACGGAGTAGGCTCATACACTACGCTGACATGAGATATGTGATTAGCATTGTGAGAAACGTCATGAGTGCCGGAATGGAAAAGTTATTATCTAGTCCGTCAAAAACAAGTATGATGTACTTTTGTCAGCCACTTAACCTTTGAAGGTTTTTACGGCCGTGTACGTGTTGATATTTATAGATTTTGTTTTAAAACACTGAAAAAGGATAAAGTTTGACGACTTGTATCAGACATGTTTAAAGTCGTGGACGACTTATATCAGATATATTTAAAGTCATTCCTCACCAAATCATCTAAAACAAATCTATTCAGTCTGTATTCCCCACTGCCCTCTGATACAGGCTTGACATTGAAAATTTTAGATTAACAAAAAAAAGATCAACACATTTTCTGTTACTAACCATATCTAGCGCTAGCGTGATATATAACTGCACAGATGTATGTAGTGAAGATCGATTTTGGTAAAAGAAGAATGTTTCATTGATTCCAGTCTAATTCGCTCGCTGCAAGACTTGAAAATGTTTGCGTGCACTGAAACAAATCAACGGTATTCCCCGAACACTTTGGTAATAAGACCATCTACGGTGTGGGAATTGATTTTTTTACCGTGCATACACTGCTTCTGCTTTTCATATAAATTCAAAAGCCTGTGGGATGTTTAATGAAAGGTGTCCCTTGTTTTCAGACTTAAAAACGCTTGCGTGTACTAAAGAAAACAAAACGACCACCTAGTGTTCCCTGAACATTTGAGAAACAAGGCCTCGCTATGACGTGTGAATTGATCTTTCTCGCGACGAAGCTTCTGTCTCCCATTTGAGATTTAAAGCTTGTGGAATGTGCCTCAAGAGGTAACCTTGTTTTTCATGTTTCACGCAATAAGTGTTTTTCAGTCATTCCAGAGTGTGAAAAGGGAGAAACGAAACCACACATTGTAAAATTGTCTAAAAAAAAAAAACAACAAAAACAACAAAAAGAAACAATCGACCGTTAAGTCATTTAGGATGCTCTTCATGGTAAAATGCCAAGAGATTTTGCAATCGAAAATAACAGGTAAAAATAAATACAATCTTGGTAGGATTCATTCTGTTTCCCAGATTTGCTTAATCAAGTTTAACCAATGGATCAACCCCTAACAGAATTTGCCGGCATTCGATTCTTGTGAATAAAGTGCACGGTCTTAAAGCTACGATTACGGAGATGCTATATGTTAATCTTTTCGATGGCAACTCATACCTCCACTGTTCCGTAGCCTGTTTCTTGCTGTCAGCCTTTTGTTAACCCTACTTGTGGGACTTTGTGCAAAAGCTTGACAGAGGATCAAAACCACGACGAGGAAGGATAAGAAGAAACTCCTTCCTAAAATTCCCATGCTTCGTGGATGTTGAACTCGGTATTCCGGCCACTCGTCTTTTTGGAAAAGAAAAAGAATGCTTGAAGAATGTTCTACGGTGGGTTTATATATCAGTTATAAGAGGGGGCGTAGTCGACGTCAGTAGAGATAGAAAAAATCAATTATTCTCCGCACGCATATCAAGTAGAACTGAATGTCACGCTTTGTTCATTGAATTGATAAAGATCTTTTGTGCTTAAAAATGGCAGTTTGTTAATCCTCCAGAATTACCTCATCTTCTATGAGATGACCCGGAAGGTATTTATGTATACAAGAACATCCGTTGCAGCCTCGTGTTACGTTGCTTTTTGGTGCTGTATTGCTGTAATTAAATGAACTTGAGTATTTTCAACTCTTAATTCCCCCTTTTATAAATCAGTACAGGTACTTGTAACACCTTTTGAAAAAGTCGTATCTGCTGGAAGCTAATTGATTTAACAATCCGACACGTGTTAGTTGCTGGATGTCCTACTTTTAACAAGCCGACCGCAAAGCTGGTGGCTACTTTTTATAAGAGTAAAATACGTTTTCTTTAGGTTCGTTTCTTATTACTTCATATTGTTTTAAGAAATTTGTTCTTAACTTTCCTTTTCCGCAGATGAATTAAAAAAGGCAGAAAAATAGTTTCCTGATAAAGTGAGATGTTATCCCACTCCCCGTCGCGTGGTAATTTCTGCACTCACGCACAGACGCGTAAGTATGTAAGCCCTCTCAATAGGTAAGGTTTCTATATGATATAGCTGAAATGTTTTTGGAAAATCTTTAGAAAACACCATCCAAATGCGCATAACTAAGGTTGTGGTCTTACAAAAGTATAATGACCACCCCCTCAAAAATGCAATATATAGAGCGAATGAAATGATTAAACTGGTAGAGAAAAAAAAAAACACCAAATGAGGGGGCAGTGAGGAATGAGGATTCGATAAAGCGCTTGAAAAAGGATACCCTACTTACGCACGCTTTTGTTTGAGTAACCGATACTTTGAATAGTAATTGTATAGTGGTCTTTTTGTCGGTGTCACTGTAGATGAGGAGCTCGTGTCTCTCTTGTATTAGTCTCCGAAAAATTCGACTTCACAAGGTCTCGAGGCTGTCTTGTTCCCAAGTAGGTGACTATATTTGAGATCTTACACACTTGTCTAATGGCTTACGACGCGTAAGCTTCTCCCGGTTTCTATAGTTTGAGGCGACTCATATGACGCATGCTAATACACGGCAGAATACCCCCTCCCCCCTTCCCCCTCTCCCACCCAACAAACTTTCGCCGGGTTACTGGATGCAAAGAAGCACTCAGATAGTTACAAGACCTTTCATATCGTGGGTAGTTCGAGCTAGAGTTTGAGTACATAGACCCTTTCACTCACAAAGTCACCAACAACAACAACAACAACAATCTTTATTTTGTACTCACCCTTGCTCAGAAAAAGTTACAACTTTTTTTCTACCCTCGCAGCACACAGTGTCCGCTGTAAACATAGACCTACTATCGTCACAAAATCTTGTGTGACTCTGGTTCTTCCTTTTTTCACACATTTCCCTCGGTGTTTACCGGATACTCCACCACGAACACAACAAAGAATAACTACAGCCAGCACGGCCAAGCTTACGGAAGACTCCATCACGCCGCCGTGCAAAGTGTAAAAAAAGGGTGTAAACTAACAAAGAGCGGGTGAAATCCAGGAAAACAATGTGTATAAGTCTCGGCCTTGGAAACTTCGAACTTTCCATAGAACTTGCAAAAAAAACTACGTCTCACTTACATTCTTTATGTTTATGGTATGGCAAATTATCCATTCAAGTGCACACTTGCAATCATTTGACCGCGGTGTTTACAACAGCGCGCTCCCATGACGCAGGCATGACATGTTAACTGTCCCTTTAACTGTCCTAGTACACTGTCCAACTACAAGCGTGACGCGTACGCTGTCCTCCTAGTGCTCAAATCAGGCGGGTGATAACCAATCACGTTCAAGAATTTTGTAATAGTTTTTTATTAAAGCTGTAGTTTGATTCAACGCTGAATCCTCAGAGCTGAAATTACTTGAAATTTATCTAGACAGTATACAGAATAGATATTCAGGTGTTGGGAATACAAAGGGTGTGTCACCCACACGCTATCATGATTGCACAAAGGGTGCTCGAAATGGATCTCAATTCGTTAACATTTTGATAATACAGTACGTATAATACAGTATGTATTAGGTTGATATAATACAGTATGTATTATATGGTATTAGGTATTTTAGACTCTTAATCTTAGAGGCACGTACGTATTTTGAACGAGCTCTATGAGCTCCTTGACGCTACGTGGGTAATTAAAGTATTGATTGATTTATTGACGATTGACCCTTTAGAGTGACCAGTGGCCGATTGCTCCTTACAGTATCATTTCTAAATCACACACTAACGCTACGAGAGTTAAGAAGTGATCACCAACTGAAAGAGCTCTTAATTGTTGAACTAATTCTCCGTATGAACATCCTGGGAAATGTATTGGGAACAGTATAGAGAATGTGCACTGCGAAGTTAGGGTGCAAAGAATTAATAGACCCATACTACTTGGTTTTTATGTCTTACCAACTCCAAATAACTTTTAATCGTTTTTTTTTTTTTTCACCATTGAGGTTACGATGGGAGCATGGTAATTGCTTTTGAGGTTAACTTTCTTTCCTTTAAAGGACAGTGACCCGATTGGTTAATATCGAATTTCAATTGTACTGTAGAAGCAGAGCCACCTTAATTAGTTGGGTATGCAGGACAAGCTTGAGAAAGAAAAACGAGCAGTCATGAAAATTGAACTTGGAAGTCACAGGTAGGGGATAAATCAGGGAATTTGAACACGGAGAAGCCTGGATAAGACGAAAATCAGTCACATTTCTTTCTCAAATTTCTCTTTATGCTGGTTTCTTTCACTGATGAAAGATACTTAAACTTTACAGTTACTCATGAATTTTTTAATAAAGTTTATAGATTCTTGTGAAACATATAGTTTCCCCTTGTAATGTCAGTTGAACTTGGTCTGTGAAAGTACACACTTCCGTCGTTTTCTAATATTTCTAATTATTTGGTACAATTTCTGGAGCAGGAAACATTATAATAGTCGATAAGAGTTAAATGAAAATGAAAAAGAGGCTGGTGTTAAGTTTTCAAGAAAATCAATCTTTCTATGTTACGTGTAGGAATTTTCAATTCCTGCACACTGCATGAGACGTGCAGAGAATGTGAGGGGAAGTTAAAAGCCGTCTTCAGGTTTAATTTGAAAAATTGTTCGTTCGGTTTTTTATATAGGGAAATTTTTACTTTTTTCAGGGAAAAGTCAGGGAAGGAATTTCATAAACTTTTTGTCTGTAGTAACCATGATTAAGAGGAATCAAAATTACACATCGCGCCTTTCGTGATGACCTGCTAAGTTTGATCAACAAAGGATGCTTCGGTAAGCTTCTTTGGAAGCTGCGCCGGCTATTAGATTTATTCCGATTTATTTCGGTCAATTGAAACATGTTCAATGAAACGTAACGTATCTATAATCTCGTATCTCGTATCTATAATCTAACGTATCTATAATCTCGATTGGTCCGAGACTGTTATAAATAGTAGATGTTGGTGAAACGTGCGTGAAAACAACTTCATCTACATTGCCAAACTGTAATAATTCTGTTTTCCAGATATGAAGGGCGCTCCTGATTTAAACGCATGATTATTTTTAGAGTCTTAAAATCTGTTTATTTACATCAAACATCGTCCACATGTGCCTCGTAATTCGCCTTCTTGGTGGAGGTCCTCTTTAATCAAAACTGATGCCTCACCAAAAATACGTATCGTTTGTAAAATTCAAACAAGTAAGAACCGTCCACCAACTTTATATTGCAGTTCAGACACAATCTGAAAGAAAAAAGCGATAGTGAAATTTTTTTAGACACGGTGATGTGCGATTTCGGGGGGGGGTATACTTAACCCTCTCCCTCCCAACGTTTGAATACTGTCTGCCGTAAATTTCTTAATAATAATAATCTTTATACTCTCAAGATAAAAGTACATATCTCAAGTTACAATATTAAAAAGAGTACAGTTTCATATCTGAAAACATGGTTTTAAAATTCTACCCAATAACTATTAGTTGACGATATTCTTTACTCGCGTCACCATTCTCCACGAAATTGAATTAAAATTTGATGACGAAATTTTTGGTAACCCCAAGGAGAAGAGTGATCAAACCTAAAACAATTTGACCCCTGACAGAGACTGAATGTAGTTTCTCCTTAGAATATCACCCCTGAATCACACATTAAGTTTAGTAGAATAGAGGAAATGATCACCCACAGATGAAGCTGTCGATTGTTAGAGAAATTCTCCTTATTTGTACCTTAGAAAATGTGTAGAGCTGTATGGAATCGAGGTTTAAAGCCCCTCCTATTTGAATGCCATGATATTCAAACCGCCATTATCACTACGGCTATAACCAGACTGAATGAAAGTCCCAAAAATTGTCGACGAGATCTCAATACTAAAACGTGAAAAAATGTTGGAATCGCGGAAGAACGCGACCCAACCAATCGAGATTTTGTTTTGTCACATAGTTCTGTTCATGATTCCAAGATTTCTTTTTAGGTCAAGTGAAAGAGATACATCCTTACAGCCAAGAGTTTGACCATTCTTTTTTTTTTCATGATATTTTTAGAGCAATTTTCAATTCAGAGTCGAAAGTAATCAGGGAGTTTCGTTTTACTTCGCACCGTGATTGGTACAGAAAACTCGCGCCAATTTTTTAATCAGCCAGTCAGACTTAAAACTAAAACCAATCACGACTTAGGTCGCCCGCGTTCTCGCGCGCTTTTGGCTGTTTGGTTGTTTTTACTTTTAGTTCTCATTGGCTCTGAAAGGTATTTTCCCTTCTTCTGATTGGCCGTTTGAGATTGCTTTGGTTTTGAACACACAATCACAGAGCGCTCCAAAAGGAAGACTCAATTACTACTCACCTTCGACCAAATCAAAGCTTGCTCCAGTCCCTCATGGTAACAGGTCTTCCTCTTCTCGCTCCAGGCCTATCTCTACACTGTCCGCAAGTCACTGGGCAGTGCAGTCTCATAAACTCTTTGTTCGCCTCTTTACTTGTTTGACAGAACCTTTTGAATCTTTTGCAAAGGCGCATGTGATCCTTGCATTCTGACCAAATAATGTGTAAACGAGATTTGAAGTTAAGTAGACAATATCGAGTTCGATTCCAAACGAAGTCACTTGCATGAAAATCAATCATTATTGCGACGTTCAATTTTGCGAAAAGTAACCGATTTTGTATCTTAGTTACACAACCAATAGTGTGATGGTTATTGTATTTTTTAACTTTTACCTTTTCTGAGCTGGTAACACAAAAAAATCTGAAACTTTTGTAACGTTGAAAGAAAGCAAGATTCCTTCCCAAAAGAACAACAATCAGTCACGCAGCTTTCTTGTCAAATTGCAGTCCATGGTTGCCTTTTGCCAAGCAATTTTTTTTTCTTGCAGTGGTTGTTTTGTTAAAGTTGTTTTGTTAAAGTAAAAATGGCCTTACTAATCTTAAAGAAGCCAAGCACAACTCATTGAACTACCAAAAATATGCCAACGAGAGTGAACAAAAGAGGCGTATTATTGACCCTTAGTAAATTCGCTGTAAAGGTATTTTTTTACTACCTGGGCAGCTTGCTCTGCCACGTGGTGTGTATCTGTCCCAACAACAGTCTCCAGTTCTCTCGCAGCTGATTTCAGTTTTTCCACCTAAAACAAAATTGTTGTGGTTATTTGTCAGCAAAAATGTAAAATCAAAAGTACTAAATAGTAAAAATGTAAGTAGAGTTACTGCAGCGGCAACTGTACGGGAGTGACCGTGGATTGAATTGTTTTGTCAGCGCGAAGGGCAAAAATAGTGGCAGAACCTCAGAATTACACAACAACTTACAATAGTTGCAAGTCTTTGCACAGCTCCTCTCCAGTTTGTACTTCAGCTGGTCGATCTTCACTTCGCACACCTGGATGCCAAGTTCTTTGACTACTTTTACACAGGTCTCATGTGCCTCTGGTTTATCTTTGCACTCTACAAGCAACAGAACATTTATTAAACTTAATTTATCCTTCATCTTTGAACCCTCATATTTCTTAGCCACAAAACTATTCATCCTTTAAGGGATGATGCCAATTAACAACTCTTTCCCTCCCCCCTCCATACATTTCCTAAGGTTGTTGACATCGAAATTGGTTTGACAACCAAGACTCTATTTTGTTAGAGATCATTTCCTTCATTCTTAAAACCTAAATGTTCGATTCAGGGGTGATATTGTAAGGAGGAATTCGATGTTACTCGCTCTTGGATATAAATATCTTACGCGACGTGACCTTTGTTACTAGTACTGTCTACCATCATGGCGATATGAAAAGGAAATGCCCGGAAAAGATACGAGACCAGTGGGAGTGTTCTTATTTCAACTTTGATATATGGGATGCCCTAGTTTTTCACTCCGGAAGCGCCACTTAAGGTCAATCATTAGTTTTGAAAAGAATTAAATTTATCCCTCTTGTGTGATGAAAATCTTGTGTCCGATATAATTCTTTGATTTGTTACTTATCCATTTTCTTCTTTTTGTTTGTTTACTGAGGTACTTTAGAATTTCACATTACGATCAAGACAGTTAGTGCCATTCATTTGAAGTACAGATGGCCGTCTTACCACTTAGTTACAAAACCATGGCGAGTTTAATGAAGAGTTAGCTAGAATATATACAACCGTGAAAACCCATAATCGCCTAAACATCGCCAACGAAATGACAAGAAGCTTTTAAAAACATTTATCAAGTTTGAACTACATGTTGGTGAAAGCGTAATTCGCAACAACTAGAATGCCTATATCGTCAAAACCCTGTTTTGGAATTAAGAAGATGTCTAACTCACTAGCAAAGCTTTAAGTGTATTACTACGATTTTCATTGTGTCCAGTATGAAAAATACTAAATACTAAAAACGAAAAAATAAAACACTTGCCTCCGTCTCGAAGCCTTTTTAGAGCGCTGTACCTCAGAGCCATCGCACGGCTCGTAGACGTGCGACTTGCCCCTCGCCTGCTTCCGTGGATTTTTCTGTAAGACCCTCTCTGGATGGTCCGAGAGGATGAAGATGACCTCCGTTGGGCTGAACCTTCGCTGAGTAATAAGACTACGAGCAGCAGAAGATGTAGCCACGAACTCTTCGTGAAACTCGCCATGGTTTTTTCTCCGTTCTGTTACTTCCTCAGTTCTGTTAAATCTGAAAAAAGTACGCACGTCAGCGCGTTTTATAACTTGTTAAGGTGGGTGCGGAAAAACTAGGAGTGATATAAACCATGCCGACACGTGCCATACAGCTTAGTAGTTCTTGCAAAATTGCCAGATGTCTTCTTGTCACGTTTTACGTAAATCCACCCACATAATCACCCTTTCTTATTATAAGTAAACGACCGCCTTTAATTATGAGGTCAAGTTTGATCTCCATGAAAGAGTTTATGGGCTGAATGTTGCACTGGGTTTTATGCCATCCTCCGCGTGTATTCGTGAAGAGTTTCTGTTAGTTGGACTCATTGAAAAACTGAGATATCGAATCCGCTCATCTTTTTAAAAATGCAATTTTTATCGTTTCTTTGATTACTTTCCCATATGATGTAACACAACTCTTAAGAAAATCTTTCCAAAAGATTTCCACAAACGAAAGACATTAGTTCCCAGCGTGAACTTTGCCCGGAACAGAATTTCGCGCGTTGTCCCTCTTTCTAAAAATACCATCCGATCATTTTTCAGAGCGATTAAGGTTCAAGGCGAATATTTTCCCGCTGTGTTTGTTTGTTGTCCAGCCGTAAGCTCACACTGAGATAATAGGGAAATATGTGGTTTCCGATGTTGGTATAAAGAGAATTCTTTCGGAATTCGTTTGGAAGGAGTCAACCACTCGCGGTACGTTGAAACCTTTCGTGATTAGAAATGTAATTTTCGAAAGCTGTTTGCGAGGTTGTTTCAGACGTCGCGACGTAAATGACTTTCGGCTCTGTTATAACGTGAGCTCTCTCCCTCGAAACGAGGCATTTATTCGTAAACAAGGGTTTTTCGACGCCATAATTGAAGAATATGCGTGTGATAGGCACGCATGGATATTATAAAAGGACTTCTGTTAACTACTCGTCGAACTAAGGATTCCTATTGACAGTCTTCCTGATTTCTAAATTTGGAAACCCCTGAGATATCTCCATTCGGTATCCTATCGTTCCCCGTCCAATTCCCCCATCCCACCATACCCGTAGATTTTCAAGCATGAAAAATATTCGTTATCTTTAAGTCAAACAGTAAATACAAATTACACACTGTGGAATTTTGGAACAGCTTTTGAGGTTTCTAGACCTTTCTCAGTGAAATATTTTTAACAACAAGGTCTGGTCCGTTCATTAATTGACGGCTAAATATCAATCGGATAGATCTAATAACATTACTCGACAGACTTCTAAACTTATATCTTCATTTTCCATTCAGGATGTGACGTAAGTCACCTCCTTTAAGATTTTGTGGTTGTCATGTCCCCTTATCTTTAAGGAAAATAAACGTGATATGCGGGAAAGAGTGGGCTATGGAAAGTAAATTTAAATGACGTCTTAAAGAAATCACGTGGCAAAACAGGTTCACGTGAAAGAACCGCGATCACTTTTTCTTTTGTTGTAGTCCTGGTTGGACAGAAACGTTTTCACCATGTGTTCGCTATGTGAGCAACCCTTTTTTTTTTTTGTGACCAAAAATAACAATGCCTTGCATACCCTGAGTAAGATTAAAGATACTGTTGCCCTGCCTCTAAAAAAAGATCAAATCATGCCGAATGGTTAGGTATCATTACAGAGAAAAATTCTTATTTTTTTGTTTTCTAATACGGAGATGCTAGGGAAAATGGTGCGCCTGGTGAACTATTATATGTCAGCTTTCAATTTAACGTCGATTTCTGATTAAAGAAAACTGTTTGTAACCATTTATACTATTTTAATTCGGGTTTTCCCAGTTGGCACGCAGCAAGAAATGGCCAAAATTTTTTCCACTGTAGTTGAAAGAGGTATTCAAACAACCTATTTCAAAATCAAGTATTATGTTTCAATTCGTTGACTTTAGAAAAAGATGTTCGCAAACACCCTCAAAAATGATTGAAGCTCAATATAGCTTAAATGCAATAAACTCCATATTCTCTAGGTGCCGGTGATGTCCTACCGAAAACAGGGGAGTTTCCTGTGTTTCTGACGTTGTCAAGTTCATCCTTTTTAAGTATAAGACTCTTTCATGAAAACGTAAATTGTGTCCAAAGTAAATCTAAAAAAATCTGTTTTCGTCACTGACACGGAATATGGGTAAATGTCCGCTTGGCTGGCGATCTGAAAACTGTCATACATATTAACTCTATTCGTTGCATTTTCAGTAGCAAACTGAAACGTCACCCGATCATGATCTTCTCTCCTTCTATCGAGTTGACCGCCCAGTCAACTGACTCCTGCAGTGTTGTTACAGACATCCTAACCTTCGTAAACCCTTCCTACGATTAGGGAATTGTGTAAACCACAAACGCTTAGAAATCCATGATGTGAAATCTCACGAAAAGTAACACACTTTTGGATACAAAGACCAACGTTAAAGTTTCCACAGGAAAGATCAAGCTTCGCCTCTCTATCTTATGTTTGTTATTTCCAAAGCTTTCACGATTTACCTACGTACCTCAAATTTAGCTCCTGAGTTGAAAGTAGGTTGATGTAGGTTTTCGGAAGTCTTCTCTTAACTGAAAGCTGCATGCCGAGAAAGCGCATTTTAGAGTACTAAAACTCCTTGAAAATTGGATGTAGTTACTTATTTCAACAGTCCTCAAATTCTTTATCCAAAAAAGGTAGGTGTTTCCTGATATTCTGTTTATTTAGGCAGTAAAGAAAGCTTTAAGTGTGACAGTGATATTTAAAGGAGTATTGAAAGAGACGAGCAGTCTAAAATATTACTGTGGTGAGCGAAGTAAATGACACTTCGAAGTCATGAAGATGCAACCCTAGTCAATGATCACTTGAGTGAAAAGGAGATCTCAATCATTAAGTTGGAATAAGTTCAAACTTCTTTTGAAAAGTTTGCAAAGCCAGCTCCAGGCTTGCAAACTCAATGACCGGGTGACTTTGTATAATCCAGATAAGTAGAACTATTTAGCTATTTTAAGGGTTTCTTTAGGAACAACGTTAGATAATAAAGTTGATCAGACTATTTTACCAAGAACAGCTATTGCTCCAAGCTTTGCCACGGACTGATTTCATCGTACTTAGTCATTTTAAAAATTCATTTCTATTTTTTTTTTTTTTTTCAGTTTACTTTAAATTCGTGTTTATTGTCCTCCCAATTAATTCCACTCGGATTTTATTTTATCCCCTCTTAATCGTTGTGGTTTTGAATTGCATTCATAAGAGATTATCCTGAGTGATATTCCTGCTATATACATGCGTGGAAACATTTCGAATGCGATATGCATTCAAAATATGGCATAGTGATCATTTTTCCATCAGAAACAGTGGCCACGCTCAAGACGATTTGATTGCAAAAAGCCGCATCGTTATCATTTCTACATCTGTGGCTAGAAGTTGTGAATGTTTATCCATCTGGAGGTTTAGTCTTCAGGTCTAATTGAACCTATTTCAAACCTCTTTGTAAGCTTGCTAGACAGGTGTCCCCTTGCGTCTGAAAATTTTGATCGCGTAATTGTTTATCTTTGTTGCGCACAATCAAGAAATGTAAGCTATGAGAGAATTTCCGAGCCGGTATTACATAGCTATTTTTAAATCGGAAGTCCTTTAATTTTATCGTTGCTTTTCGTCATTTTGCTGAGCGTTATGACTCCTTGCACCTGAGGACAGCTTTGAGTGTCTCAAATCGTATCTGAGCATTGGCACCTCTTAACTCTAAGGAGCGACCTTCAGTTCTAATGAAATTTATTTTACGTTTTTTTTTTTTTTTTCGCCAATGATGTGCCAGTTTGGTAATAAAAAAAAAAAAGAGCTTTTAATTAAGCATCACTCATAGTTTTCAACACCCTCCTTCTCAGCATTTGTGGACAAATTTTCTCCTTAGTAACTGATTCAAGGGTTTCTAAGGGCAGCAAGATCAGCTATCATCTCAAAATTAATCTCTACTTTTATAAAATGGATTAAAAAAAAAGAGCATATTTAAATTTCCGATATCATTAGTCTACACAGTATACGTGACTGAATTCAACTCTACATCAACACCCATACTTTAAATAAGGGATGAGAGTTTTTGTCATCGCAAGAGACAGCGAAATTACCCTTGGTAACACTTCTGCAGAGTTTTATGCTTAAAGTATAGCTGTTATCAACAGTACATGTTGGGTTTTGCTAACTTTTTCTTTATGTCGTACGGGAAAATTCAAACTTCTCGAATTTTCGAGACAAGCTCTAAATATTTGTCTCCTTAGTGATTCTTTCAAACGTCACATTGATCAGTTGATCTTTAAATAAATGTTTGTCCTCTTTGTCAGTGAAATTGCTCTGCGAAATCAGCTTGTAATCGGATCGTTGTAATTAACTATTGTCCCTAGGTGTATACCCCCCAGTTACTATTTACATAACGTTTTTTGATAATATTTTCATTTCCGATTTAGCTTACTGCTTATATCCTAATGTTCTTATACCTTTCACCTTTAAATGCCTGAAAACAGTTCAAGGGTTCTTTGTTGTCCCATTCCTTTCCTTAGATGCACAATTATGGTTACATAATGTGTGTAAATAACAAACTTTTCGCGGAACTGAACAGAAAACGAAATCCAGTGCAATATTTTTTTTCCGAAAGAACACTGATTAGTGAATTTAAACAGCTGTGGCATATCAACTGAAAGAAGACTCCCACATATATATACATGGTTGATCGGTGGTTCCGGAGGTCCCCAAAGTTCATTACCATTTGATCCATAGTTACCGTCTTTTGTTCCTTTTTTTGCTTGAATGTTTTTTGTTTGTTTGCATTTTTGACGTTTCATAGCCAGCTTTAACTACGTTTTGCTTTAACGTTGTTTTTGCTATTGTTTAAGAGTTTTTACCAAAAGTTTCATGATGTGTAGTGTCTTAGATCAAAAAATTTTTTTTCACGTTTGTATTTATTGATGTTTTCCCCAGCTTATATATGGTTGTATTTCCTTTCCCTTCTTTGGCTAAATGGTTTATAGGGGCTGGGCTGTTTGACTTCCCAATTCTTGTTGATAAAATATTGTATTTGCGTAAGGAAGCAGTCCGAACACGATCCTCTCTCACATATAGTATATGCTATCTTTCAACACTCTTCCCATAAGTGTTCTTTTCCTAGTGAGATGAAAGCAAACAGATCTTGTATGTGCATCCATCTTAACTATTTGACTTGATGGATAAGAGGATTACAACGATTTTAGCAACAAGGCTCTACAGGATATTCTAAAAGATCATTTTTGCTTTGTTCTTGTTTTTTTTACTGAGTTGTCTTTGGCCTGTCTTCCTGATTACAAACCAACTTAGGCAGGTGCAAACACACGTGCAACTGCACATCCGTAATGTATTTCTTTCTGAGCTGCCGTTGTACTGTTTATTCGTTTACGTAACCAAACTGAGGCAGGTGCAACCGCACGTGCGTTATGGACGTCAATGTCAAGAATTTCGAAATTTTCGATGGAAAATATTTGTTAAATGACTGACGAATCTTGTCTTCAAGACATGGATTATAAATATTTATTAATTATAATTAATTATAATTAAATATAATTATATTTAATATAATTATAATTAAATATAATTATATTTAATTCTGTGTAAATAAATATTTAGTTGTGAGACAGAGGACCAACACAAGTGTCTCGCGTTTTTTGTTTGTTTTGTTAAGGGTTTTGTATTGTAAAAAGCAATGCACTTGTCTTATTTAATCACTTTCACCAGAGTGTGGTGAGGGTCGCACAACAGAGCGAGGCTCCAAATTAAGTGCGCCCGATATCCCACCCATCCCCACCCCAGGGGAGGACATCCATCACGTCATCATTAACGTCTTAAACCTTAATCCCCTAAGAGAGACTATGAATCAAACATTTAGGACATGAGAATAATGGAAAATCATCAACAAATACAGAATCTCTTGATTGATAAGTAAATTCTCCTTGTCAGCACCCTGGGATTTTTATAGGGGACAGTATGGAGATTATGCATACTGATGTTAGGGAGTAAAGGGTTAACTTTTTAGCATATAGACTGTACTTGCACCTTTTCATTCTTTCTTTTTACGATTGATCGATTGCCTCACCCTCGACCTGTTAGGAGAGGGGTATGGGGTCTATTAGAAAGCAAAAGAACCGTAGAAAAAATTCATCCAAAACCGCTGAAAAATTCGATCATAACCGAACTGAAGCGCGAGCAAAACCATTAAAATCGATAAATTTTCAAATCCCAGTTATAAAATCCCTTACAGATCAGATACAGTGGAGCATACGGAGGTTTCTTGACTATTCGAAATCAGTGTTGGTGCAAAATAGCCGCTCAGATTGAAGAGAAAACAAAGATCCAGAATATTACATTGTATACCTTCCTTATCATGATAAATGTTCAGGAAAGCAAGGACAGTTAAAACATAGGCGTAGTCGGCCAGTGTCCAGTTTTGGATCTAGATGTTTTCTGCCAGAAGGGAACTCTTTAGTGTTTTGACCTTCTGATCATCATTCCATTTATGTCACAGTTCAAGGTCACAAATATTTAGCCCCCTTATCAAGCAGTGATGAGGTCCAGACAGCAAGTGGAGCCCAGTGAGGCTGTTTACAAACTGAAAGTGTCTTTAAGGTGCTAATGACCAAACAATTAATGATAGCTGAACCCTAATTTATGTATCTTGACACTTTAACCGCTACTCTCTTACTCGTACAGCGCTATAGCCGACGTCAAGCAAAATTATTAGGCCAGAATTCCCCATTTTTAAATGGCTCAAAGCAAGCTTTTCCTTGAGTGTCTACTATAGGTGTCGCGACTATAACTACATTGTTTTAGTTCAATTTGTACGCTTTACGTACCTATGATGGACATCATGTGATAATGACGTGATTCGAGACCTCGTGGTGGTGGTGTTGTTTTTTGGTTTTGGTTTTTTAGTCGCCATTTTTGTTTAATGTAAAGTTTCGTTTGGAATCAAATACAGTTCTCACACATCAAAGAATGTTTGGTCAGTATAGTCATCACTTTAGGTGACAACAGGGTTACATTTCCTTGGAGCGCAGAGAATATTATTTGTCCCGTATGCTTTAAGGCTCGACTTACGTAGCTCAGAGAAAAGTATTTTTCTCAAAACATTTTCGGCAGAACTGAATATCAAGGAATAGTGCTTTGATCACGATCGGAATCATAGCTTCCCCTTACGACTCAAGTCAACAACTAAAGCCATGATATACCGGCTGAGCTCAGTAATTAATGGAGCCCTTTTGCATGTTTTTGTATCATAATCACGACGTAGAAGAATACCAGGTATTAACGAAGAGCAGCTGTACCCTTGACATACACTTTAGATATATTTTCGCCAGCTGTCAATTCCTGGAGCACTCAGAAAAGCTGAATAAAGAGCACTTAACAGTTCATTTCGTGCCAAAATGTTGCGTTTATTTATCTGTGCTGAGGAGACCAATGAGATGAACTTGAAGATGTTGTTCGTACTTCGGCCACTACTACTCATGTAAACGTGCTAAACCTTCCATATAGAAGGGTGCAAAAATTACCTCTAAGAGAAACTGATAACCCCTAGTCACTAGGTATTTAATAGCCCATTTCCGAATTACCCTTGGCCTCTTTTTCAAAACGAGGCCTGGTGCTCAACCATTCTTGTGAAAATGAGTTTAATTTGCATGTGAAGGAAAACTTATTATCATGTGAAAGGATGAGCACCAAGACTCGTTTTAAAAATGAGGTCAAGGGTAATTCGGAAATGAGCTATTTAGAGGACCCAGGGACGGTCGTGAGACGCAAATGAATATAAATGTCAACAACTCAAATATAGATAGCCTACCGCTAATGAAGCAATTGTAGCAGCATACCATGTAACACCTCAAGGAAAAGGTTACATAATCCGTGATAAATACATATAATAAGTACTTCGACTTAAATTTGTGGTACGTTTTAACTGCTAATCAGCCATCTCATAAACCTTGACTGAGACCGCTTTCGCGGTACGAAGCTCTACCCACCAAGCTGAGGAGAATTTGTCTTGCATGCACTAAATTTTCAGTTTAGTTATAACATGAGAACGACTCACTGCAAAGATCAATTCCAGAAACATACTGAAAAGTCGATCGGCCATTTTATATCATTCTTTTCACATCTAGCCTTGTGGCGACGCATTTTCCAAATCTAGAGGGGTAAGGAAAAGATAAACTCACCACTGGGGTGAAAAGGATAAAAAAATCCCTTTATTCACAGAAGCGTTAGGTGGTATGAGACTATCTATTCGCGAATTATAAAATATTAATTGGGAAGACAAACAAAATACACCAAAAAGAGGAGAAACGAAACCAACAAATAAATTAATAGATGGATAAAAATGATACTTTATTTAATGAATAAGAATAGATTTATTCGAAAGAAAAAAAAAAAGAAAAAAAAAGAAAAGACTCTCTCACACGCACCTACCGGCTAACGAGGAAAGTAAAAACCAACTAATTGCGGGAGACAAAAAAACAAAAATATATGATGAACTTCCTAAAAACCGGAAAAAAATAGGATAAAAGTGGCCCTAAGGGGGGGATAAGACAAAACATTATGCAGGAAAATGCCATTTAATGTTTTGCCTCACACTACTCTACTGTAGAATGTTGCCAACAGCTTGGAAATAGCTTGTTGTTATCACCAATTAACTGTTTTCCTGGACCAGACCACCATTTCATCGCTTTCCGCTGCATTTTCTCAAATCGGCTTAGTATCAAAGAAAGGACTAAAAAATGAGATACGAATGTTAAAAATATACGTGCAGTATAAAAATATAATTATGAACTAGCAACAGGTGAAAGTAAAACAAAAAATAACTTGTTCTCCGACCTGAGGTTCAAAACTAGCTTGAAATGTAAAGAACTCGACTGCTGGTCAAGTCCAAAGACTAAATGCTTGTGACAGAAGTGTACTGCCTGTTGAGAGGGTCACCTCTTGAGGTAGTCTCCCTCGCGGCCGTTTTTAGTCTCGTCACGCACGTTGCGTGACGAGACTAAAGACGGCTGCGAGGGAGACTACTCTTTGAGGCTAACAAGACAAAAACCCCGTACGATGACTTGAGGAATCTTAAAGGCTTTGATTTCCCCTCTGTTCAAGATATTTAACCCTTTGAACCTTAAAGAGTGACTAGCATCTAATTTCTCCTTACAATATCACCCCCAAATCACACATTAAAGGCACGAGAATGAGGGAAATGACCAACGACTAAAGGAGCTCTTGATTGTTAAACCAATTCTCCTAATGCGCACCTTAGGAAATGTATAGAGAACAGTATGGAGAATATGCATACTGATGTAAGGGTGGAAAGGGTTAAGAAGTAGTCTGGTAACAAATAGAAACGACACAACTCATAAGGTTGTAATTCATTTAGCATTTATTTAAATATTTTCAGACAGGGTTTAGCTAGAAATGCTTTTCAGTCCTCAGGGATGTGCTTGACATCTTGGGATGAAAGTGAATTTTTCAATTTTCCTGTTTGCTTTAAGTGCCAGAATCATTTGTAAAACCTTAGGTTGATTCCCAACATTTAGGGTTTAATTTGGATATTTAGTGCATTTAGGGTACTCTATCCAAGTAAGGAACTGTTAGTTCAATGTTATAAAAAATTATGTTAGGCATAAGTTGAGAAAATTTCCCATCAAATCATACCCACTCTTACAACATAAAACCCATAACAGGTAGCTTCTGTCTTTAAAAAGGCTTATTCATCGATCCACCGACAGCAGAACAGGGAAGAGGGCACCAGCCACACCCTCTTCATTGCTTGAAAAATTCCATATTTTATAAGTTCTGAGAGACATTTACCCATCTTTGTCATTTGTTCATCAAAAGCATCTTGCTATCATCGGTAATATGGTCTCCGCTCCTGAAGTTTAAAGCTACGCTCAAGGCTGTGTAGCTGTATACATCATTCTGTAAAAATGTTTGAGTTTTCCACATTGTAATGTTGATTAAATTCGTTGAACTCCTTGCGATCTGACGGAGCACTTGTGCTTCTGAATTCGGATGAGAAGATTGGGCATAAATTATCTTCAACACCATTACTGCTTTTGTTCGAAGAGGCTGCCACATCAGTTCCTGAGCCACTCCATCATGGAAGATGATGCTTAAAATGTGGATTTTCTTTTCCTTCCTGTGTACTTGGAGTCTGGCCTCACTTCCCTGAAACGGAAAAGGATTTTTTTTTCTACTGATAGGTAAAAAATACATTTAACCATTCTACTTCTATGTTACTTCTCCCTATAATATCAATACATTATCCAGCAAACAGGTAATGAAAATGCTCAAACTTATCAGGTAGAAGTTATCACCTTGATCTAACAATAAAATTCTGGTAAATAATTTACACAGAAAAGTGTAGCAGCTAAAGGGGAGAATAAACGATCAGATCTTGGGAATACAAGGGTAAAACAAAGTCAAGAAATCTTTCCATTGGACTCCTGTCCTTCCAACCAAAGAGAGGTTTAAGGTATCTTAGATCCTCAACAAATGATTGATTTAGCAAATCTCCTTACTTTCCCTGTCTTCGTCTCCTGTCCTTCTTATCTTTTACCCAGTCCTTGCTCTTTTTTATTGATTTTCCACGTGGAACTTTGTTTCTCTCTCTAAAGCAAAGAAAGAAAACTCCATCTTAAAATTGTTTGTCAATATATATGCAGTAAGTCAACAAATTCAATGAACTACCTCCTAAAAATAATAGACAAAACACAGTGGCAGTCTACAGAGTTATGCCTATAGAAATTAGCTGGGATTCCCAAAGATTACTTAATTTCCAAACATACCCAAGGTTAGACAACATTCTGGAAGCTGTTAGAGATGTCTGGATAACACATCTTCAAGTTCGAGATAATAGAAATGGCATCAAGAGCAATTTGTACCTTTTCCCACTAAACTGAACACTATCCTCAACAGATTTTGAATCCTCAGTACTAAGACCCTATCCAAATCAAGAAAATTATTTATTAATTTGATATGCTTACGTTAACAGATAAACATCAAGGCTGGTTTGTTCAAAAGTTGGTTAAGATAAGCCAGGGTTAGTGTGAAATTTGATTTCAGATCTGAAAGCTTTAAAAGAAAATTCAGGTTAATTCTATTTTTCTACACTTGATGATTGAATGCTCTAAAAGGAATTGGGAAAATTTTCCTAAAGTGGCTTTTGTACAGAGAAATATAGAAACCTGGATTAAAATTTAACCCTGGGTTAGCGCTAATTGGCATTTGAACAACTGGGCCTTGCAAATGTTTAACTGTAGAAACTGGCCTTTCTCTCCTTGAATCAAACACAAGCTCAGGAAGGATAGCTCATGCCTCTAACCAAGAGCATCCAAAAGACATCCATAATAAACAATGTCCGCATTGAAAAAAAAAAAAATCAGCACAGAACCCTGGCATATTTTTACTAACCACTTGAAATGTACGAACATGTTTATAGTTGTAATGGTATCAAAATTTAAAACTGAAAGCTAATGATTAGAAAACAGAGTACTTAATATATCATGCTGATCACACTGAAACATCCATCACTTTCACCAGTCGTTACCCGTCTATGATACTGACAGCGACCTTAACTCATTTACTTGGCAAAATAAGGACATAGGCAGAAGTTAAATTTGAAATAATCTTCTATGGATAGTCACCAGTGAGAACAGTACCTTTGGCAGTTTGTCCACAACTACACCAGCAAAAAGACACAGGAATATTCTGAAAAATTAGTTTAAAGACAAAGTTGAATACTAATGCATCTGTAGCAATTGGTTGCTTTAGAAATTGCAAGATCACAACTAAATCACAAAGAAAGCAACCTTTTTGCCAATGTGTGCTAGAAGGATAATTTGAACTGTATTCACTCACTTTTTCGCTCTGGTACTGTTGGGATAATCAACCACTAAGCCTCCTGTGAATCCAGCTTTCATGGCCTGTGTTGTGATCAACTCAACCTGTACAGTCATACAAGAAAATTTCAAGTGCATGAATAAAGATCTGTGCTACAAAAGGACCAACATTTTTACACTTCATTTAGTGCATGTAGCAGATTGTAGACCCTTTGACTCCCAGAAGTGATTAACATGTAACTTTTCCCTATAATATTCATACGTTGTTCAGCAAACATATAGTGAGAATCTTCAAACTTATCAGGTAGCAATGGTTGTCTTGATTTAACACCAAATTTTCACAAATTGCAAGGCCTCCTTCAGCCCTGTGGCTTGAGATAAAGCAGACATGTTCAAAATACCTGTTGAGGGTTTTCTGGGTAGAACTGGAATACTGCTCTACTTCCACGACTCTACATATGTTGAAAAAAGATAGATTCAAAATAAAAACTAAGGAGTCTACATGTGTATACTTGGTTGCAAAACTTGGCAATTATACTGTTTTCCTGACCCACAGTAAGATAATGTCCTTAACAACTTTTATCTCAAAAGATATTATTTTTGTCTTGTCATGAGTTTGGGACAAGAAAAAAAATCTGAGTCCTTATACCACTGAGCCACAGAGACTCGGGTGAGTAAGGACACAATGAAGTTCATCATCACACATGTCCTGCCTTTATCTCCTGACTTTTTATCTCAGTTATCGATGGATTCACATACATGGAGTAAACTAGTGGAGATGGTAATTTTTTTTCTGTTGCTGAGACTGTCTGTGGATGGGAGGAAAAGTGTGAAGTACTGGCTCAAATACTCTGCTACATAAACCAAAAAAATAAAGTTTTGGATGGAAAAAATGAATTTCTCAAACTCACCATTGAACTGTAAAGTGAACTGAAAAATTTGTGAAGTCTCTTAGCAGGATTGTGTCCCTTTTTGTCAGCATTACAGAGCCACTGAAGAGCAGATATGCTTCAAGAGAAAAAAGACCAAATGATCTTACTCATTATCATTAACCTTTTGAACTGTAAGGTAGAAATGGCTCTTCTGTAGAGTACATACAGGGCTCGACACTAACTTTTCAAGTTACTAGCCAAGTGGTTAGTGACATCTTAGATGTTTTTAGATGTTACAACAATTTCAGTCTGTTTACTAGCCAAATTGGCTAGTGGAAATTGAAAACCACTAGCCAAAACTGAATTTCTACTAGTCTGTGGCTAGTGGGCTACTGTTACTGTCGAGCCCTGACATACAATGTACATATACGAGCAAACACTTAAGGTCACTAATGGACTAGCAATGAAAGAAGATTTAGGATCACAAAGCTGATTTTACAGTAAATTACAACAATAACAAATTCTTTCCTCTACCATTTAACCCTTTAACTCCCAGAAGTGATCAACATGTAACTTCTCCCTAAAATGTCCATACCTAATCCAGAAAACAGGTAATGAGAATACTCAAACTTATCACAGGTAGAATGTGTTTTCTTGATCTGATATCAACTTCTCATGACTAATTTACAGGGAAATGTTTAGTAGTTGGAGAGGAGAATTAATCATCTAATTTAGGTGTTAAAAGGTGAAAGCAACTACTAGAGTACTGCACTATTCCATAAAGTTACATTTAAAAATTAGAACAAAAATCCAGCTCTTGATGATATAGATTGTGAAAATAGAACTGACAAAAAATTGATTCTCATTTGTGACTGCTTGAGTCCCAACAAATACATTCTGTACAGTAGATATAATAAATTTTAACTCTTTCACCCAAGAGTGACTTGCATCTAATTTCTTTTTACAATATCACCACAAAATCAAACATAAAAACAATGAGAATAAAGGAAAATGTCACTAGTTTAAGAAGTTCTTGGTTGTCAAACAAATTCTCCTTGACTCTGTATCATCAGAAATGTATAGACAACAGTAACGACACTTGCATGATGATGTTAGGGTAAAATGTTAGGGTAAGAGTAAACTATTAGCCAAGTTCAAACCTTATGCACCCATCAAATGTTCCAGGTTTGAAACAAAGACCCTGTCCTACATCATGAAGAAACAAATCTCCTTCTACTTCTCTTTCAACTGCTACATCTGAAAAATCAAATAACGAAACCATACCACTAAGAAGGCCATTCACTGGACATTACATCCATCTTAAAAAAGTGATGGAATCATTGCTTTGGAACAGAGCATTCCCTTCTCACAGATTAACGCTGCTACATTTTGTTTCAACCAACAAATACTTGCTTGTTACAAGAGCAAATACACTTTATGCAAAAAATATTAGATGTTCTGTATTTTAATCCAAGAGAGTGTCACGAGGATATGGATCTATACCATATTTACCTGCGTATAATGCACACTTTTTTTCTACAAAAATAACCATCAAAATCACGCTGCGTAGTATACATGGATTCTCTTGTTTGTCACGCATGTCCTAATTTGCATACGTTAAAAACACAACAAAAAAAGTAACACATTTAAAGCTCTAATTAAATAACTTATTTTCAATGAAAAATTATAGGTGCATATTAAGTTTTTACTCTAAAATCAAGAGGAAAGACAAAATGTGCTAAATATTTTCACAAGTGTGCAAACAGGCACGTGGATCAGATTTCAAAGTGAATATGCCAATTTAGTCACGTGTGAAGAGATCTCATGTTACATGGAATTTTTCAATGAGAAGCAAGAAGAAAGCAAGCGAGAATTATTTCAGGACAAAAGCTTTATTTAAAGCAGTTCTTGATTTGCTGTTATGAGCAAAAAACATGCAAATTTCTTATGTGTACAAAGCGCACCCAATAGAATTCATTGTGGCTATATTGTTATTTAACTGACTTTATGGCCGGAAAATTGCATAGCATTAGTTTATGATGATATGACACAAAATCCTCCATACTTTTCAGACATATTGTTGCTCACTCATAATATTAATTACCGGGCCATGGAATCTTCAAATTAGCTAGGCCTCGCTCTAAGTCCTAAAGTTTGATTTCAATAATGTCATGTAAATAGCTAAGTAGCAAAAGATATTGATGTTAACAATATAGTACATTATTTTGTTATTCTTGTTGTCTTAATAAATAATTGTGCAAATATTTAACTTGTCTTTTTTGCTGTAAAAAACTTTTTTTCTGATAAATTAGGTTAAAAACAAGGGTGCACATTATACATGGGCACCTCCCGGTTAGCTCAATTGGTAGAGCACCGGACTGTTGTGCGGGAGGTCGAGGGTTCGAGCCCTGGCCGGACCAACACTCAAGGTCTTTAATTAACTGAGAAGAAAGTGCTGCCTTTGTAATAATATCTGCAAATGGTTAGACTTTCTAGTCTTCTCGGATAGGGACGATGAATGGAGGTCCCGTCTCCCACAGGGTTGGGGTAGGAGACGTTAATTTCCCACACACGAGATTACTGTGTGATGGATGGCCTCCCCTGGGGTGGGATGGGTGGGTAATAAAGGGGTTAGGTGTCAATTGGAACGAAACTTCTGTTCCTTTCTCCTGCCATTCTTGTGGCGAATGAATTAAACTACTGTCAAAACTAAAACTACTGTATTATACGCAGGTCAATATGGTATATATTTTGGTGCTCAACCAAATAGGTTTTCTGACAAGCAAATTGAAGATTTCTCCAGCTGCCTGTGAGAGACAAGAAATTAATATTGGTTTGCTGTATCAATTAAATGCCAATAAAAGCAAAAGAATTGTAAAGAAACCCAATGAGAAACTCAGTGTCAACTGGCAATAAAGAAAAAACAGACAAAGAAAAACAAAAATGAAAACCTTAGAACCAATTTATACCTCATTATCCCTAACTCCCGGAAGTGATCAACATGTAACTTCTCTCTAAAAATATATCCATAGGAAACAGGTGATGAAATAGAGGATATTACATGGCCACATGGGGATACGAATTTTATCTTCGAGTGCTGAAAGTATCTCTCACTCATTCGCTGCGCTCACTCGTGAGAGATACTTTCAGCACACGAATCCCCGCATGGCCATATAATGTTCTGTTTATTATAGATACTGATGAAATTTCCACATAGAAGACAACTTTTTTTATTCATTTTCAAAACAGCAATTGGGTAATTATGTTGGTAACCATGGCCACACCAATATCCTCACACGTGAAAGATAAAAATAGTATCTTCACTGCATGCGGTGAAGATATGATTTTTTAGTAAAAGGAGAAATCCTGGTATTTCATCAGTATCTATATAATAAAATACTCATAGTGGTCAGGTAGAAGTTGTTATCTTGATCTAACACCAAATTCTTGAAACTACTACAAATCTGTAGCAGCTAGAGGGGAGAATTCATAATCAGATCTCAGGAGCTAAAGGATTAAGTGAAGATTTCAGGACAAATGCCAGTAACTTTGGAGCACTTCCAGATAAACCTTGCTAAAAAAAACCACATGGAAACAGTTGAGTGGGTTATCTGTGATAATCACATGTGATTACCTAGCATTGCTGGACTTATATCAAGGCCAACCCAGTGATGATCCTGCTCTGTCAACACTTCACCACTTAAACCAGATCCACAACTACAAAAAAAGAGAGAGGAAAAAAAAACGCATCATATGAATGTATTCACAATGAAAAGAAGGGTTAAGAGGGAAAACACTGTCGATTACTCTATTAATTAACCCTTTGACCCGTGAGAATGACTAACAACTATTTTCTCCCTACATTACTACCCCTGAATCCCACATTAAGGTCACAAGAATGAAGGAAATTATCACAAACTTAAGAAGCTCTTGATTGTTGGAAAAATTCTCCTTGTAAGCACCTTAGGAAATGTATAGAGAACAGTATGGAGAATATGCACACTGACGTTAGGGTGAAGAGGGTTAAATAATACAATTAAAACACATCTGATGATAAATGATTAGAGGGAGTAAGTTTCTAAAGAAACTGTGGTGCTGCATTGGTTGGGGCGGGGGGGAGGGGGGGGAGGAGATAATTTAGTTTTATCAATGGAGTTGATAATACGCCTTGGTCACCATAAAGAGTTTCTAAAGCTGACATTGTAAGCATGAACCCTTCTTCTAATGATATAATTGAAACAAGAAAACTGAGTTAATGTTAAGAAAAAATAACAATAAAAGGAGAAAATCCTGTTAAGATCAATAGCCCTTATTGCATTTGTGTCTGCAATGCAAAGGGTCCGCAGAGTTACAGTTTCAGGACGAGGCTATTGGGTCAACATTTCTCGAGAAACACCAGAAACACTCCATGTCTGACCATATAACTCTGGAATCTGCGTTTTTTTCTGCCTAGGAAAAGGTTAAAATTCTTAGTGGCAATTGTCCTGGCATCACGAAAAGAAGATAGAAAGAATGGCTGTCATTTCGGAAACGAACGGCAAAATTTTGTCGCGTTTGTTCATGACTACGGTTATTATTCCGTTGTAAGCCTTTTCGAGGTTTAACTCAAAGTCGCGTTTCAGGGCCCTGAGCGCTTTGCGTTCGGCCGGAAGCAAATAATCTTTTGGCTTTGTAATTTCTATTTCTGAAAAGTCACTTTTAACCTCTTCTATATAGCTTTCAAGGGCTACTGATTTTTGTATTGGTGGTATCCATGTAGATTTGAAGTGGTAGGGATGAGTTTTTTTGTCCTCCCCTCAGAATATGTAAATCAGACGCATTCTCCTTGCGAACTGATCAAAGTCACACAATAGTTGTTGTCTGATCTGTTTTTGTTTTGTAGCAGGTGTTGGAATGAATTTAAGCCCTTTTGCCAGTAAATTAATCTGGTCATTTGTAAGTTCTTTATTTGAGAGGTTTTTTCTATGCGTTTTGATCGCCTCTAGTTTGATAGTTGAACGTGCTTGGCAAGACCGCGGTTTCGATCCTAATCTTGCGGATCTCATCAGTTGCCGATTCACTGAATAGACTGTTGCATCTGTATGCAATACAATGTCTAACCATGACGAGAACATGCTGTATCCTTAAGAAAATGAATAAAAATGCCTCCAAAGGTAGCCATTTGCTTCGATTCTACTTGAAAGTTTTACCTGTGTGACCCGATAGCCTTGTTTCAAAACTTCAAAGTCCACTGAGCTCTTGTACAGTGGGTGTAAATACAATAAGGGCTATTGTCAGTAACAGTTCATTTTTTAGTTACTGGGATACAACAATAATCAGAACATAGAGTAAACTCTTAACACCACTCCTCAGGGAAGTAGTGGACAGGTGTATTATTTGTCTACTTGATTGTATACAATCATGCATATACTATATAAATGTAAATAGAATTGAACTGCAGTACCCTATGTCCAAAAGAAAACAAGGTTGATCCTCTGGCAAATCTAACAGCTCTATTGCTCTTTGAGAAAGTTGAACTTGAATCTCAATCATTCTTGTGCTGAAATAACAAAGGATACGTTAACTGCAGCAAAAATTACTTCACCTAATATAACATAATTCTTACAAGGAGTTTTCTGGAAGAGTTATCAGATACATGTAAGTTTACCCTATCAGGTACCATACTTTAGCACCCTCAGTAATTCTCTAGAATTAAAAAAACCTACACAGTACAATGATCCCCCCAGTAATTTAAAACTGGGAGATTCCCTTCTTGGTTGCAGGTTAACCTTTACCTTCCAGAAGTGTTTAACATATAACTTCTCCCTACAATAGTCATTCATTCTTCAGCAAACAGGTAATGAGAATACTGAAACTTATCAGGTAGAATTTGTAATCTTGATCTAACACCAAATTCTTGTAACTACTTTACTACGAAGAGTGTAGCAGCCAGAGGGGAGAATTAGCAATCAGATTTTGGGAGCTAAAATAAAGGGATAAACACACGTGCTTCGTTTTATTCCACTCACTTAGATGTGTATTTGCGGGCCTCCTCGTCATTGTAAAACTAGGAAGCAAAAAGATTTTTGAGGACTAAATGGCTTTATTTAAGATAAAATGCATCAAAGACGTCGACAGGATTACAAAATCCTTACCACTTCGGGTGGTGCTTGATGTTCGGGTCGCCTTCCGGACGCCATGTTGATAAAGCAGTATCATACGGGCAGCGGAGCTGCACTTCAAACCTACGTCCACAGTATTTCATACCAGCAACTGTGCACAACAAAACTTGATACCTCATGTTTGAGAACACTTCGTATACTACTAAATTATGTTACGCAAGAAAGGAACATGGCGGTTACCAGCTGATGATTTTAGTGATGAATTGTGTGGCCAAATTGTTAATCCAGACTGCATTGTCTCCACGATGGACCGTTTTGAGGAACAGTCAGTTTCGAGTAACATCTTTGCAAGGCTTTCTGAGATCATCGTCGATTTTAAGCGGTCATAAATTTGGTTTAAGTTTGATACACCCTAATAGTGATGTGAAATACTACAGTACAGGAGCAAAGACTAGGACAAAAAACTTCTACAAAGTGCTCGGTGTCTCACCTAAAGCCACCCAGGCACAGATCAAAAACGCATTTTACAAGCTCTCCATCACTCACCACCCCGACAAACACAAGGGAAGCGCTGAATCTCACGAAAAATTCCAAAACATCACCGAGGCATACAACGTACTTGGAAATCAAGAATCGAGAAAGCAATATGATCGAGAACTTGTAGGCGAAGGACAGTTGAGAGCAGAACATGCACATGGTTACGAACATCCTCAAACAGTTAAGAAACCAGGATCGATTTATAATTTTGACGAATGGACCAAAGCACACTACTCGAATACACTTGATCGAAATCACCGAACAAAACTAAGGCAAGAACAACTTCGGAAAGAAAAAATAAATACACCGACAACGGGATCTGGGACTTTGAAGGCTACATTTGTTTCAATTACCGTATTATTGCTTATTTGTATGTACTATTACAGTAAAAACGCCCAGAAGTTCGAATCGAAGGATGACTTTCGAATGTGATGTTTTACATTGATATCGCATACATTAAATATTTGGTAGTGAGAATTTGAAATCTACTACATATTAAAGGACTCTTTTGTGTAAATTTTTTATAGTTATATTTCCCTATAAAACAGTTGAAAATAAAGTAGACTGCACGAAAGCAAGTGCAGTTTACACCAATGGCCTTCTTTAATTGTCCTCAACTCAAGGGGTGAAGTTTCAATCACTCTTCACCTGTGTGGTATATTTAAAAATTATTCCACAAGCGTGCATTGGATATGAGATGATAGATATCCAACAAGTGCGAGTGGAATAATTGTTTTATTAAAAACAAATAAAATTATTAAATTTTATTAAATTTTTTAGCTCCTTTTAATTTTAAGCTGATGTGTATGTTTACCATATTTGTAGATTATGGTATATTGGCTCATATACCATAATGGCTAAGCCAATAAAAAGTCTTGAATTGCATTATCCAATGATCCAGTTTTTAATAAACTGATTTATTAAAAACTGAATCATTGGATAATGCAATACAAGACTTTTTATTGGCTTAGCCATTATGATATATGAGCCAATATACCATAATCTACAAATATGGTAAGTGTACACGTCAGCTTAAAATCAAAAGGGAGCTAAAAAATCCAGTTTCTTCTTACAAAATAATAATTTCGTGGGGGCATTTTTAATAAAACAATTATTCCACTCATGCATGTTGGATATGAGATGATTATAGCCAACTTGGCACTATGCGCCGAGTTGGCTATCTATCATCTCATATCCAATGCGCGCTTGTGGAATAATTGTTAAATACCCTATATGCGTTATTAACCTAGCATGAGGTCAAGATGGCAGGAGATTGGCTGAGGTTTTTTTCGCATTTTTATGGACCAAGATGAAGTCCAGAAACATCAAAATAAGAAAAAAAAAA